ACCGCTCACTTCTACTCTCTCTCCTTGTGCAGGGTGACTAGTCTTGTCTCCGCCCCCTCCTGCAATACAGACTGCTCACTACTGTGCTCTCTCCTTTTGCAGGTTGACTGGTCTTGTCTCACCCCCCCCCGCCCCTGTAATACAGACTGCTCACCCTCCTTGTGCTGAATAAGTGGTCTTGTCCTGTAGTAGGTGGAGCTTGTTGGGCCCCTCCCACAATTCCACTTAATCTGCAAAGGCTGTGCAACACATTGACCATGTCGCTGCTACATCTGGATTTTTAAAGACATTTGCTGCACACAAAGCAGATTTGTATCCGATGTGACTATAGAGGAATATATTTGAATGGAATGATTTGTGCTCGGAGTTTAGCTTTGGGCGGCTCACTTAAACGAATGTGTGCAGAAATCGCATTATTTTGTGTGTTGGCGCATGTTGCATTGGGGCAGCCCATTCACTTGGATAGGGATTGTAAGAAGCGCGCCTGCACTATTGTTGCCCAATGCAGCCCAGTGATCATTCACACATATGTGGTGCAATGTGATGGATGAAGTGCAGATGTTCATTGAGTGCCATATAACGGAAATTTGTATCACACTTACCAGTCATTTTCCTCTACTGATGCCTATCTATGGCAGCTTACCTTTGATATGCTACCATGGAGGCACCAGGAAATATATATATACATATCTCTGACATATTTCCGCGTCACACATCCAGGCTCTGGAATATACTGTAATAGTGCTGCGCAGTGGTGGTACCGTAACATTTTCCTCTCTCAGTGCCGCTCCATGGGTCAGGTGTGACCAGGCTGAAAACAATCAGAGTCTCTATAACTTACAGTCATTAGGCAGAGATGCTAATCACATTCCCTGATATGTGTACAACCAACAGAAGGAGGATGTATGCCTTTGTCCGTAACGTAAACAGCCTACAGATGGACTTTTGGGGTACCACCAATGGCTTGTTGGTCTGGGTCAGCAACGGCCATGGGCGGGACCAGATCTACCATATACAACGCTAAATTACCCAGAGGCCTCTTGGAGGTGAATATTTGCAGGTGTAGTTAAAGCTGACCATACATTGTGCATCTTTTCAGCTCAGCTTCCCTAAAATGTGTGGATGGGGGCAGCCAGTTCCCGGGTCTGTACACCCGCTGTGCCCATTATGAGGAGCCCCCAACAATGTTTCTCGGCTGGATTTGTTGCGATCAGGAAGTCCATTTATCATTTGACGCTTCACAAGAGATACAATTAACCTTTTCATACAGAGAGATCCACAAAACACAAACAGCCGTTGAAGGCTCTTTTATTTCTCGGTGAATTCTTGTCCCCGTTGCGTCATTTCAGACATTTGACAAAACCGCACAACTGTTGATTTTAATTTCCAGTGTGAACAAGATAAAGGACCCAAAATCCCAAAAAAAGAAAAGAATTTTCTGCTTCGTCTCCTAAAAAGTGGAGCGCCCTCCAGCCTGACATCAGGAAGTTGCATAAGTATCGCCATAAAAACACATTTTCTTTTTAATAATCGGAATACTGTCGCATTTCCCAACCGAATGCAACGGCGAGAGTCCCCCCCCTCCCCCCTCCCCGTATATGATGTAGTTACAAACTGTACATCGTGTTCTATATATAATATTGTACATTTTTCAGCAAAAAAAACAAAAAGCTGAATCCTCCCATAAGAACAGAATTACAAAAATGAAACACGTAAACAAATAATATTAATAATCATAAAAAAAACATAATATATTATTCCATTGCACCAGAACGGCATGCGTTACCTACAAAGTCCATTGTAAACAGTAAAAAAAATAAAACTGCGTCCCCCCACCCCCATCGCGGGAGGGAGACGGGAAAAATGGGACATCCGGATCGCAAAACATCATTTTTCATTTCTGCTTCAGTATGTCTGTGATATTTACTACCCTCTGTGATACAAAAGGTCCTGGTGGCGGTAATTGCCTCGGCACTACCACAACCGCGGCATGTATAAACAATGTCGCCGGTCACCCGTGCTATTCTGTGTCAATACGAAGGAGCGCATGTTTCAGGTGCGTGCGAGAGGTGTTTTGTCGCCGGCTCGTCCCCGGCTCGGTACAAA